GGGGGGACCGCGGTGAAGGCAGCCCGCGGGGCTGGTGCCGTGAGTGCGCCCTGTTCCCTTGCAGCGTGATCCGGCTGATCATGCAGTACCTGAAAGAGAACAGCCTCCACCGAGCCCTCGCCACCCTTCAGGAGGAAACGACTGTGTCCCTCAACACTGTGGACAGTATTGAGAGCTTTGTGGCAGACATCAACAGCGGGCATTGGGACACAGTGCTGCAAGCCATACAGTCGCTGAAGCTGCCTGACAAGACCCTCATTGATCTCTACGAGCAGGTGGGTGAGAGCAGCCTGTGCGTGGGCTTTTCTGGTTTGGGGGGGAAGCCCCTCTCTGGAGGGGGCACCCTTCACTGATACAGGTGTCTTTTTCTTGGTGCAGGTTGTGCTGGAGTTGATTGAGCTCCGGGAACTAGGTGCTGCCAGGTCTCTCCTGAGACAAACGGATCCCATGATCATGCTAAAACAAACTCAGCCTGAGCGGTACATCCACCTCGAAAACCTTCTGGCCAGATCTTACTTTGATCCTCGTGAGGTATGTTATGCTCTTCCTAGAGACCTCAGGATGCTGTCTTGCATGACCCCAACCATTGGTCCAAGTTGCTAATGGCTTACAGCATCTTTTCTTTTCCATTCTGGGAGTGAGAACGTGCAGCTTTCCAGTTTGATGATTTTACATGTTGTATGAAGTGTTTGGGAAATGGTGTGTAACACTTGATCACTAGGCAGCAGCGCAGTGGTTTTTAAGTATACTGCAGTTGGGAGTTTGTGGATTTATACCTGTATCCTGCAACAGGATGACGTATGTGCCTTGCTTTTCCTGTCTTGTAAACGCAGAAGAAAATGTACATTCTGTAAATAAAATTGTTGTATAATGGCAATAATAACAAGGCATTATTTCTGACTGATTATGTCAGCCTGACATTTTTAGTGAAAGCATATCCCAAATGTTTCAAGTATTGGTGTTAAAGATAAAGGCTGTTTTGAACACCTAATAACAAATTAATCTGGAAGGTCTTCAGTTCACAACCATGAATGCTTTTATGGAACATAGTTTAGAAGAATCACTTCATAAGAATAACTTCTCTCTAGGCCTACCCAGATGGAAGTAGCAAAGAGAAGCGGAGAGCTGCTATTGCACAAGCGTTAGCTGGAGAAGTCAGTGTGGTACCTCCATCTCGTCTTATGGCATTGTTGGGGCAGGTAATTCTTGAAAAATATTTTAGTAGCTATGTCAGTTTCTGTAGATCTTTGCTGCATAAAACTAACTGTGATGTAGTTGATTCTCCAACTCTAAAAGTAAAGCTTAAATATTGCACACTTACATGTGATATAGTTACAAATGATATTTTCTTCATGTGTCAAGGATTTAGCAGTTGTAGGAAAAGTCAGCACTCCAGTGGTAGATTTCTCCCCAGAGAATAAATATTCAGCGCATAGAGAAGATTATTTTCAAAGTACATTTTGATACATGCTGTTTCTGCTGTTGTGCCTACTTTTTTTTTGATTATCAGAATATATTCATTGAGACTCTATGCAGACAGCATTTCATATATTCTGCTGTTTTATGGCTTAAATCTTACTTTTTAAGCTTGTAAGCATGCCAAATAAATTCTCTCGGCATAACAGGTGTGTCCTGTGACTGAAGGCATCTTTCTACTGAAGGGGGTGTATAAGATTCCATCTTTTGAATGAAGTTTACTTGTGCCTTCCAAGAAAGCTTATGTGTCATTTTTCATTTTAATTTATACAGTTCTAGGCAAATAGAGAACAGGTCAGGTAATTTAAATTAACACAAGATTGAACTCACACTGGGTATGTACTTTATACTGTGTACTGAAGGTAGACTGAGAAGAGTGGGCCTGAGTCATTCTCACTTGCAAAAATCCTTTGGTGACAATGTTCTGTTCTGTTTGTGGCCATGAGTTAGGAAGCAGAATATAAGTCTTGTTTCAAGTAATTGTTTGCAGCATATTTGCCTCAAACTGTACAATCATACAATCTCTAAGGGCACAAGAAACTATTGCTGTATCGTGTTAGTTAGAAGCAAGTTTTAATGAGGAAGTTGTATGTTATCTGATACCTAACTGTATGGCTTTCAACTCCTCAAAAGGCACTGAAATGGCAGCAGCATCAGGGCCTGCTTCCTCCCGGTATGACAATTGACTTGTTCAGAGGCAAAGCAGCTGTGAAAGACGTAGAAGAAGAAAAGTTCCCCACGCAGCTAAGCAGACACATTAAGGTGATGTTAGGTTTGCTTTTATGTGTGTTAGTGCTGTTTGTTCCTTCCTGTGCTTTACATTGGGAGATAAGAGTAAACCTTCTGAATTCTTTTGCTTTTTTGTAAGTTCTTTCCCTCTCTCTGTGTCTTTGTTGTATTTTTTTTTTTAACTTCTCTATGCTTTATCTCATCCAGAGACTTTCCATGAGAGTCTGAAATGAAGTGCCTTAACAAGATTTCCTGCTTATCGTATTTGTGAATATGATAAAGGCACTAATTGTTTCTTTGACTTCACAGTTCAGAATAGTGCAGTTTTCAGAAGTGGTTTGCTTAGTCGCCTTCTTTATTTGTGCAAGGAAACACTCATGTCTTAAACTTCTGTGCTTGTATATTAGCTTCTGTGAGCCACTTAAGTTTTGATCATGAATTACTACATACCAGGTCTACTAATATCACCAGTATCTCCTTTTTAAGGATTTTATCATATAGATTTCAAAAGAGAAGGAAAACCGTACTCTAATGACATAGTTGTCCTGCAGCGCTCACAATATGGAATAGGCAGTTTCTTCCTGTGAAGGCTTTTCAACTTCGCCAAGCTGTTCTGAACAGTGAGAAGTGTTAGTTCACAGCTCTACCAGTTCTTACAATGAACAGATGTTTTTTGGAAGTCATGAGTTGGAACTTATGAAATCAGTTTGTGGTGTTCAATAGCACCGTGATAAAAATGTTTTATTAGAACTTGTTTTGTTTATCAGTACTAATCTTGGATTTTTGTATTGATTATTGAAAACTTTTGTCTATACTCAGTTGTATGGTCACTTGTGTTTAAAAATTTAAAATTTAAAAGTTTTAAAACTGTATATAAACAAAATACCAAACATTGTCTGTGAAAATTTCACTGGAGAAACATCCTTCCAAGTGAAGCAACTTGCACTACTTCAGAAATTTCTGAAGTCCGCTAGGGATATGTGTTCGGTACTGGAAAGGTGTTTGTTAACATACACAATTCACAGCAAAAACAGAAATATGAAGTCAACCAACCCAACTGCTGCTGTAAGCATGAAGTGTTTGATGCAAGTTTCACAAATAGTACCAGATCAAAAGGAGGTTTTTTTAGTTTGTTTATAAAGTGCTAGTATGTGGGTATTGACAGGGTTTGTTTTTTTTTGTACCTTTACATTAAATTTGTGAATGTATACCTGTAGAAAGTACTGTATTTTTGCAACCAAAATGAGACCACAGTTTTGTTTTAATGAGTTGCTCCTTTTAAATTGCTTATTAGGCTTAATTTATATTCTCCTGTAAAACAGTTTGGGCAGAAGTCACATGTGGAGTGTGCTCGGTTTTCCCCAGATGGACAGTATCTGGTTACTGGCTCTGTTGATGGTTTCATTGAAGTATGGAACTTCACTACGGGAAAGATTAGGAAGGTAAATTGTGCCTCATTTTACACAGATAGTTCATTGGCCAGACCCCCTGGTTTTATTCTTTGAGATTATACTTTATGTTTGTTTTAACTTCTCGGGGACTGAATCTGAAAAGGGTGTATGCTTGGGTGGTTCAAATATTGATCTGGAATCTTGATGTGGGTTTAATTGTCTGGTTTGCCATAGACTTCCCTCTGCAATATTTTTATTTTTTTTTACTTTTCTGGATCATCGTTACTGCCTCTCAAATGGTGACAGTAGCACTTCCCTGTTATTATAAAGCTGTGAGGTCTGCTTGATGATAGGCTATAAAATATAACTGTAGTTAAAACTGCTAGTACTTTTGCACTTTGCCTTAAAATGTATATTTCATTGAACTCACTATTTTGACTGGTGGATCTTCTGCTTTCATTTAGGATCTGAAGTACCAGGCACAAGATAATTTTATGATGATGGATGATGCAGTGCTCTGTATGTGCTTCAGTAGAGATACAGAAATGCTAGCAACTGGAGCACAAGATGGAAAGATCAAGGTACAAATCTTTTTGTATGGTATGTTGGCAGAGGTGGTGACCAGAAATATTCACTTGAAATTGCAGTAATGTTGCAATTCCATACAAAAACAAATTACCTTTAGCATGGATTAGAAACAGATGCATGTTGGGTTTGATATTTAAACTTCTGTGATCTCATAACAAAGTAACCACCTCTGTTTCATTTGCTATTTCCTCTCCAGGTGTGGAAAATCCAGAGTGGTCAGTGTCTGAGAAGATTTGAACGAGCACACAGTAAAGGTGTTACATGCCTCAGTTTCTCCAAAGACAGCAGCCAAATTCTTAGTGCTTCTTTTGATCAGACAATCAGGTAAATAGACTGAGAATGTGTGAGCTACAGTGCAGGAGGAAAGCAAACAGATTTGACCTGGGATTTGATCTTTTTGCATTGAGTTTCAATACTAATAGAGTAGGACTGCTGAGGGTTGGGGAGGAACAGTTTGAAAGTTTGACCTTTCACCTTGCTTACCTTGTATTATTCCAGGGCTTGGGGCCAAGTACTTCTTCTGCTCTGTTGTCATTTACATTGACCTTGTGCATTTTCTTTCCGGGAGACTCCTAGCTTAAGAAACAGTTGTGTCAGCCTGGAAAAATAACATTTTTTATGATAAGCTTAGGGTAAAAAAAGATGTGAGGACAACAGGATGATGACATTTTTTTTGAAATGGCCTAAACAGCCTAATCATACTCACTAGCTTTAATAGACGACATGGCAGTAGTTGGTTCCATCCAGTTTATGTTTTTTGTGAAGCAGTATCATGGGCTTCTCTTTTTCTACTATCTAAAGAAATCCTCTGAGAGCATCTTTAAGTATTTTGGTGCATCTTCTCTGCTTCCTCCTGATAGTTGCTGAATAGAGCAAAATTTCCAAAAGTCCAAAAATGCTTGGGAATCTCAGTCAGCAATAGTTATGGCTCTCCTGTGGGCTGGAATAAGGGTCTGTATGTCCCTGTGAGCTCCAGGTGGGTGAGAGGAGGTAAGGTGCATCCCTACACATTCAGGGACAATCACTTTGCATCGTGTTGCTGCTCCCTGTCTAAGTCGTGCATTGCCAGCCCTTATCATAAAAGGGTTCTTGCCCCAGCACACACCCTAAATCCATCTCTGTAATCCCAGCCCCCTGATCCACCCCTCTATCTCTCTTGGATCCAGAGAACTTCCTTTGGAGTGGAACAAGAGGAAGATGGATCCAAAGAGTATGTTCTCTGGGCATCTATTCTTCCCAGCAGTCTGATATAAAATATTAGAGATACAACCCTGGAAGACAGCCAGGCTGATGGACCCTGAGAGCTTCAAGGGCAGGAGTTGCAGTTTGTATCTGGAAATGGCAGGGCAGCCTTTCCTGTGCTTTAGGGTGTTGGGTTTTGATCTGAGTATCTCTTCAGATGTACATGGTGTATCAGGCTGAGAGAACTGGGCCTGATCACCCTGAAAAAAGCAAGCTGAGAAGGGATGTAGTTGCCTCATCTAGCAGTAGGTAAGACAATGCCAGACTCTTCTCAAGCGCACAGTTCCTGCAGGGGACAACCTCCAGGAAGTGAAATTCTGGCTGTATATAAGGAAAAACCTTTTTTTCCCCTTGGGAAAGAATCAGTGCTTGGACAATGCTAAGAGAGTTCGGTCAGGCTGGTGGGGATCTCAGTCCTTGAAGACTTTCAAAGCTCAATTGAACGAGACCATGAGTGACTTGGAAGTTGACGTTGCTTTGAGGAGAGCAGTGGAATAGAGGTCTTCTGGGGTGTCTTCCAGCCTAAATTATTCTGTGATCTCTGACGTGTACCACTTTTTTGGAGTCTCTGTTAGAGAAAAATCATGTGGTCAGATGTTTTTTACATTTATGCTGCCAAGAGAAAAAAAACTCCTATCAGTGATGAACAAGAGCCATAGAGACATGAGACAAGATCATTTTTCTCTTCACTCCCAAAAGATAACTCCCATCTCTCCAAGATGTGTCTGTAGTTCTGCTTTTGAACATGGGAATTCTTTCCATTTCTCATGCAAACCATCCCTTGCTGTGTAGCACCAGCACGATGTTGGGATATGAGCTGTGGGTTTTTTTAACCAAACTGTATAGTTCAATTTCCCAATGTCTGTGTCATTCTTTTTGGGCAGCGAAACTGTTCGTGATGTTAAAGGCCCACAAGCTGAGATCTTGGGAACCCAGGAATGGGAGTTGAGTCTTTCTACAAACTTTGGAGTTGCTTTGGTGCGCAATCTGGTTAGTGTAGTTTAGCAAGTGGATAATGTGTCAGCTCAGTTACAGTGGTTGGATATGAGGTCTGTCTGCAGAAAATCCAAGCAAGTACATCCCCCTTAACGTGGTTGCGCTAAACTGAACAAACTTGGCATTACCCGACGTTTTCCATGTGCTAAGACTTACATTCATAGAACTACTGCTACTTGATGTGCAGATAATCTGTTAAGCAAGAACACGATAAAGCAATGGATTATTGTGGGACAGGTATGAAGGTGGTTAGGTTTGCACGCACCTGTGATCTAAGAAAGCTCAAGCATCTGTGCACCTTGTGTAAGGCAGACTAGGTATAAATTATAAAATAGTTTGATTTAAAAGGTACCTCTAGAGGTCTCTAGTCCAATATGCTTCTCAAAGCACAACCAGCCTTTCAGTTAGGTCAGCTTGCTCAGGGCCTTCCTTGTCCAGCTGAGTTCTTGAAACCTCCATGAGTGGAGGAGACCCCACTGCTTTTCTTGACATATGCCCTACAGCGGTACCACCCCCTCAGAGAAAATCCTGTTGGACGTAAGGACAGACTTTCTGTTTTGGTTTAGTTTGTTCTTTTTTTCCTTTGTAACTTGTGCCCTTTGCATCTTGTCTGTCATTTAGCTATGCACTTCTGCGGAGAATCTGACTCCATTTATTCTTTAAAAACCTGTTAGGTAGTGATGTTAACCAAATAGTTACAATTTTTCAGGTGTTTAGTAAGGACTTAAATATCCTTTTTCTGCTTGTTTGTTGTTTGCGTTTGTTTTGTTTTGTTTTTTTAAACGATCATTGCAGGGTGGATAAAAGCAAGAATGGAAGTTAATTGTAATTTTTAATACTAGCAAATAGTCACAAAAATACTCAAACTCTGTTCTAATCTAAGTTACCAGATGGGCAGCAACGTCATCAAACCCTTGTTCCTGCAGCTCTTAGCATCTGGAAAGTGTTGCTTAACAATCATGTTGTGCAGTAATTCTGATCCTGCACCTATTAGGTGTCTTGTTACTGAGTGGAATTTTTTTCACTACTGGGTAGATTTGGTTTGCAACAAAGCTCTTCTGTTGCTACGCAGACACTTTGCTGCAGTTAAAAGCAGCTTAGATCAGTTTTGTCTAGTTCACAGTTATTTTTCTTCTTTGAGGTTATTCTTACTTACAATACTAAATAATAATTTGTTTAACTTTTTTGTCTGTGAGGAAAACAGTGATTAGACGGTCATGAACTTTCACTTCTCTGGGCTGAACAGGCACAGCCCTCAGCCTCTCCTCGTGCACCGTGTGGTCCGGCCCTCTGGCCATCCTAGTGGCCCCTTAGTGGAGGCCCAAAACTGGACACAGTCCTCCAGAGGTAGCTACATCTCTGCTAAGTAGGGGGGGAACCTTCATCTGCAGTGTGCCTCCCCTAATGTGCCTGGTGTGTGGCTGGGTTTCCTCAATGCCACAGCACACTGCTGGCCTTCACTTTGGTCTCCCCAAAGACTGCCAGGTCCTTTTCTGCAGACCTCTGCGGCAGCCTGTCAGCCCCCAGGTGATTCTGATGCCTGTGGCAGTTCTGCAACCATCTGTTGTCAGCATCATGAGGTTTCTCTCAGTCCATCTGTCCAGTTTGTCAAGGTTTCGAGCTTCCTTATCTGTCTTTTTCAAAATTGAGTTGAAGGATATGGAACTTACATTGTGAATCAGATTGATCCAGTGCTTGGTGACTGTATACATTTCATATTTAATTGAATGGGGTTATGTAATAAGTTTAATAGCTTTAGGCTCTTGCCAGTACTGTAAAACCCAGTGGTACCAACAGTACGGCTTTAGATGAAAATGAAGAAATGTGTGGATCTGGCATTACAAAACATCTCAATGAGAGACGCTGATCTCTTTAAATCCTGATACATGTGAACTGTAACATAAGCATTTTAACTGAAATTATGTAAGGTTGGGTGTTGAATCAACACAGCAAGCTTAAAATGAAATAAGCCTTCATTCTGAAGGCTTCAGACTTCTGCTTGAAAACTGTTTCTGTAGCCAGTTGGTACTACAATTTAAGGTTGATACAACTTAGCAATATAATTCCCTTTAGATGACAAAGCAAACTCTTTGCAGAGTTGCCCAGTAAGAGGCAGTGCAAGAGCTTGCAAAAGAGAAAAATGCTGGCTGGGTGTAAGGAAAAAAATTTTCATAACTCAACTGGACAAGGACTTGCTCAAGGCTCTGAGCAAGCTGACATTACTTAAAGGTTGGCTTTGCTTTAAGGAGTCTGTTGGACTAGTGACCTCCAGGGGTCACTTCCAATTCTGTAATTTTTGTTGTTGGCGTCATAGTTTTGGCTTTCATAGTCCTGTCTTGTAATATATACAGTGTATATTACATACAGGTTCTTGAGGATGAAGGTTGATGGTATTTCCCTGAGCTTCCCTGAGCTTTTCTCAGGAACACATCATGTCTTTGAAAGGCTTGTGATAAAGACTTAGGGTTTGTGGATTTTTAGCACTTTTTATTGTTGCCTATCAAAGATATCTCGGATTTAAAATATGGTGAAGCCAGGGGGTGGTTCAAACTACCTCAGTTGCTCACTCAGTTATGACCTCTGTTGTGTGACAGGATTCATGGTTTAAAGTCTGGGAAAACTTTAAAGGAATTCCGTGGTCATTCTTCCTTCGTCAATGAAGCTACTTTTACCCAGGATGGCCACTATATTATCAGTGCATCCTCTGATGGCACAGTGAAGGTAAGATAGCATTTACCTTTTGTAAGTAACACATTCAAGACTCTTTGCATGTTGTAGCTGATTTGTTATAACTGCTGCAGTCATGGGAGAAGGACTTGGAGTTATCGACATTAGTGTCTGCTTGTGACTTTTGCCGTAGATTGGTGTAAATGAGAACTGATGAAGTTTCATACTGCGCTTACAGACTCTTGCAGAGCCTGCTTGTGCTGTATTTATGAAAGGAGGACATAAGTGCAGTACTTATCTGCCTGTTCCTGCTTTATTCTAGAAATAGAATTGACTGTGACAACTTTTGTCTTAGAACGTGGGGATTCCCTTGTCTGAAATAATGGCGTTTTCTTGCTTACTGTGTTGGACACCTGTTTATTTCTTGGTGCTTAGGAGTCCTTTGCCGTGTAAGCTAAGTAATCTAGCATTAATGAAACTGATTGTAGAAGTGATAGATTTGGCTTCTCGTCTCAGCAAAAAGTGGAACTGCTCAGTGTGTAGTAGTTAAGAGGAGTAAAGCATTGTTGTGTACAGGACATTACTGACTAATAATAAATACATGAATATAGAAACAGCTACATTAAGTAGGGCATCGATGCAGTGGATAGTGGGTGGGTGAACGGATCTGGTTTATAGATGTGGTGTACAAGAGTGTGACAGATTTTGCTCATATTAAATGGAGTGTTACTTCAAATGTGCATTCTTTGCTAGACTGCCCCAAGCATGGGAATAGCGTAAGAAGGTGGTATCTTGCATTTTGATTGTACTAGTATGTAAACAGCAAAACTATTCCACAGATAGTGAGTTACATTTTCTTTTCACTATTAAGTGAGCAGTTCCGTTTCCTGATTCTGAACAGCTAGAACAGCCTGGTGTTGAGCCTGAAGTAGCTCTAAGCTGGGATATCTCTTCCAGCAATACCAGTGAGGCTTTGCTTTTTCAGCAGTTTTTGTGTTTGTCTTGTGTAAGGCAAATTGCATGTGCAGAGGCTGCACATATATTCACAGATACCAGCTAAAACCAGAAAGCAAGTCTGGACTCACTCCTCAGGGAATATGCTTAATGAAAGTGAGCCAGGCTGAATTTGGATAATAGAAGTTCACTTTCTGTTCAGTTGTAGTAAAATTGTTTGTAGTGTCCATATTTCAAAATAGATGTGATAATTTTTTAAGTCAGCCTTAAACTACAATCTTTTGAATTCATATTTCCCTTCAGTAGCCTTAAAAAATCTGAATCCTGTATCCTGAATCACCTTATTTTTGTTTAATTTTTTAAAGCTAATTGGTTTTACATTTATTTTTCATACTAGGTTTGGAATGTGAAGACGACAGAGTGCTCAAACACCTTCAAATCTCTTGGCAGCACCGCTGGGACAGACATTACTGTGAACAGTGTGATTCTGCTCCCTAAAAACCCAGAACACTTTGTTGTTTGCAACAGGTCGAATACAGTCGTCATCATGAATATGCAAGGACAAGTATGTGATCTTACTGGTATCCTTTCAAATCTCTCTCTCAGTGATTTTAAGAATTCCAAAAACCTAGTTAATAACCTAGCCTTGGGTTAAACCTGATTTCTCGAGTTTGCTTTCATAAGAAAATATTCTGTACTCAGGCTATAGAACAGCTTCACTTGCAGAAAGCGATTGCAGCTGTGGAGAGATCCTGTGTTCTAAACAGACCTAGTACTGCCTCAATATCTTTGCCCTGAACGTGGTAATGATGTGCTGCCGTTTAATCCTGCCAAATATTTTTGGGGGGGTATCTTTACAGATTGTAAGAAGTTTTAGCTCTGGTAAGAGAGAAGGTGGTGACTTTGTCTGCTGTGCGCTTTCACCTCGTGGTGAATGGATCTACTGTGTTGGTGAAGATTTTGTGCTCTATTGCTTTAGCACAGTGACCGGCAAGCTGGAGAGAACTCTGACTGTAAGTTCTTAGCTTTGAGCTTTTGCAGAGTTCTAAACACAAGGATGATCTAAATGTTCATTATTTATGAAGTCCATAAGGAGAAGTCCATAGGAAGAAGTCTCAAGAAGGAAGAAGTGTCAAGGAATCTTTCACCTAGAGCAGCCATGATCAGTAACATGATCAGTAACTCCAGAACACTTGGCTGTAGAATGTCTTTAGGTTTTTTTAGAACCATTTTAAGTTTTCAAGTTATGAAAATGTTCAGCCACCAATCCAATAGTGAATTGGTTCAAATTTATTTAAATTAGAGCATGTCCTGTCCTGGGCTCTGGCTGATGGAGAATCTGGCCAAGTTGTCAAATTTAAAGTTGTCAGGCTTACATTTGCCTTGGGTTAAATTAAAGAGGAATACCAGCTCGAATGTCCAAATTTAATGGGGAACACTTAGATGGTGTGGATTTTGATGGATGTAAGCCTTCACTGAACCTTCCCTCACTCAATAAAAAGTAACTGCTATGTCATAAAAATTGTTTGCCACTGGGACTTAAGACTGAGGGATTACGTTCCTCTGCTTTAGCTGTATGCACAAGGCATGTTAAACCTTAGTCCAGCTTTCCTCTAGTTCTTGTTTGAAGGAAATATTTGGCTTGAATCTGCTAAAGGAAGAATGCCCTGATGCATCTTTCTGCTTATTCTCTAGGTTCATGAAAAAGATGTCATTGGCATTGCTCATCACCCCCACCAGAACCTGATTGCCACTTACAGTGAAGATGGCCTCCTCAAGCTCTGGAAGCCATAGCTTGATTTTACAATGAGCTATGAAGTATGCCTGTTAGTTACAGGTTATTGATGTTTGTGCTTTAACAAGGTCTAAATGCACACAGTCTGATATTTGCTCCATTTTTAGTTCTGGTTTCCAGAGAATAACATTTTTACTTCTTGATCTAAAGGTAGGTAGATTGATGCTTAAATACAGCATCAGTTAAATTCAAATACTTTTATTTTTACCAGAGTAGCTGAAGCAACTTCAGTGGGAGTTTTTTTTCTGTCTCCTGAAGTCTGTACTCTTCCTACAGTGTTTATGAAAGTTGAACAAGCTAGGAACTATACACACTAACAAGTGGTTGCTGACTTCCTAGAATACAGTAAAATGCTTTTTTTTATTTGAGCGAATTATGTGGAATGGGAAAACTGTCTCTTCCTCACTGCTGAAACAAAGGCACGATTTTCCTGGAACGGAGATGAGGCTACTCTGTCCGCAGCTTGAAGGCAGAGGCTTTTCTAGTCCAGTGAGTTTTGCTGTGTTCAATTTTCACTATAATTTTTCCAATTAAGCAGTGTCACACAGCTTCCTCAGAATGAAACTATTCTTCCCCATCTCCCAGCACTTCCTGCTATAAAGCTGCCTAACATGGCAGTGAGATATACTTGTTTTGGGGGGTTTGTTTGTTTGTTTTTTGTAGGTTTTGGAGGTGGGATTGGTTGGTTTTGTTTGGTTTTGGTTTGTTTGTTTTTTGGTTTTTTTGGGGGTCTTGTTTTGTTTTGTTTTGGTTTTTTTTTGTTTTACTTTACTTCCAGGCTAAAAGGAATTATTACCTGGGCCCTCTTCCTATAAGTGCATAATGTCTTCGGACCAGCTTTACCTGAAGCAGGTCTCAGGGGATCAATATTTTAAAACATGCAAAAGCAGGTTTACATGGGCCGAGTTCCTAGTGCTGTGATGCTGCACATGCTGCAGTTGTTTTGTTTTTTTCCAGTTGGCTTCCTATTTTCCCAAAAGGGCATGGCATACTTAAGCTTTACATAATTTGTAAGATTTATTTTTTTTTTAATTTCATATACCTGTGGACCTAGTTAAGGTGATACTTAGGTCCCACACGATGATAAAAAGATGCTTTCAGGCTCTTAAGTTTTCAGTAGGTGATGATTCTGTTTGAGATCCTGACTAATACACACTGTTGTGAATGTACACTAGAATCTTCTAAAGTCTGACCATAGTTTTTCCAGGATGCAGCAAAAAATGAGGTTTTGTCTGTAATGATGAGACAAACGCACGTAGATTTGAATCTGTCACACTGTTTCCTGTCCTGATCTGTAGAATGCTTTCCTGCCACAAGTCTTTCAAACAGTAATAACTTCTCTTTGACTTAATAAATTAGTTCCAATTTAAGTAACCTCATGATTTTTTTCAGCTGAAGGGCTTGATCCTAATGCAAGTATTGGTTGTCAGCTGCTGACTGATCTTCAGCACTGACCGGTGCACTTCATTGGTCTGTGTTCATATTGGCCTAAGGAAATGCAGAAACATTTTAGCTTAACTTCTCACATAGCATTGCTTGTTCACTACAACTGTAGTGTTTAGTTCTATGTTTAGCTTTAATGTTTTAATTCTTAAGTTGTTCTTTACTTCCATAGATATGGCAAAGTTGTTTTTTAGATAGCAAAAAATGATTATTTTTCCTCCGAAAAGACACTGGTGTGTCGGAAACATCTGACAGTCATACATCTGACAAGCTCCATTGGCTTTTGGTACAGGAGAAGATCCTGACAAAATATTTTTATTATTCTCTAACTTGTGGTTCATTTAGCCTTCAGATTACACAGAACTGCTAATCCTCAATGTAAACTGTATCTTACATTGTTCTTTAAAAGCAAAGAAGTTGTAGCAAATAAAACTATCAGAGTCCTTAATGTTGAAAGATTGAAATACATTCTCTATTTTAAAAATGTGAGAAAATCTGCCATTTCTTATCCATTTAAGAGTTTCAGAGTTTATGGCATCAAGTGTTCCAGAAAAAAAAATGAAATGTACTAACACTTATGAAAGGGCAATGGTAAAACTTACTTCCTGGGCTGCAGCTGTAATTTGTAAAATAGCTGGCAGTTGGCACAAAAGTATAATGATAATCTTGAAAATGTTCTTTTTTTTTTTAAACTGTAAACTGTAAATTTTTTTTGTTAATGTGAACGTTAATTTTTTTTAATGTAATCTAGGAAGACATTTTCTGTCTGGAGAGTCAGCCAGGTGTTATGCCACTTACCTGTATATGTAAGACTTGAATAAGGCAACATCTAGTGTTTTAACTAATATTAAAGAAAGCATTGTTCACCCATGGGCCTTGCTTTATTCTTCAATGATTTTACTTGGGGCTGGCGAGTTCCGTCGTACATAGAGGAGTGCAAAATGCTTTACAGAGGGAGTGCCACGAGGTGAAAGTCTCGTTGGTCAGTTCATCCTCCTGTTTATGAACTAGGGATTGATGAATTTCAGCCTTGCTTGGGTGAAATTGGCTGTCTCTCTGTATGTGCTTGCAGAATGTATGTGGAACAGCTACCGCCATCTTGGCAAAAAAAAGACAGCTTGCTGTCTGCAAAGAAAAATCAAACCCTCCCTTGAGTCCTAGTACGATTTAGAGAGACCACCTGAAAACTGAAGACTTGATCTCAAGAGGAAGAGATCCATTGTGAATGTCTTATAAAGCAGCCAAATTCTCATGAGGTCTGAAAGACTAGAGAATCTCCATGGGTGCCTGCCAGCCCGTGTGAATCGATGATTCTGCACGTTGCTGGGGATTTTGGACCGTGAGCTTGGGTGAGAGGGCCTGCCTCTGATTTGGGGCAGCTTGATAACATCAGTGTTCAGTCTGAGATGAGAAAGAAAATAAGTTGCAGACATTTATAGGAAAGATTATATTAAAAGTCAGTTATAAATGCTCTTTAAGTACAGCTTTTCTTCGCTTTCTACCTGGTGTCTGCATGAGTTTTGGGAGTCCTTCTTAAGCATGGTTACTCCATTTCCAGTTCCTGTTCATAGGGGCTCCAGTGCGTTCACTGGATAGCTGTAAAAGCCTACAACCTTCTGGATCATGGCGACTTATAAGAGAGAAGCTGAGCAAACTTGGATCTGAATGTCAGGGGGAAAAGCATAGGCTTTAGGTGAATCCTAAGGAGAAAGGTGGCTAAACACTTTATTTCAAGGGCAGAGTAGAAATCGTTTGTGGGAATTCTTTGGCTCCCCGTGGAGCAAGATACAAGGAGATGGATGCTGCTGAAGTGAAAGGAGCGTAACAATTTTACCTGTAACGCGTGCTGCTTGCATTATGAAATGAGGTAGTGAAGCCCCCTTGAGTTTCTTTGTGTTCCTTAGCCTATGAAACAGCTCCCTGTGTAGTAACAAATTCTTCTGATACTGCCTCTGCTTTGTGGGGCAGGAAATGGCATTTGCTTGTCTGGAAGCAGGCACGTGGCGCTGCCAACTAGGTAAGCCTTTCCTGTCTTCCCAAATTAGAAGCTTTGTAAGGGAAATCAACAAATAAGAGTTCTTTCAAGTTTTATTCAAAGAATGACAGGATGTCCAAGGTTGGAAAGGTCGAGGACTCCACCACCTCCTTGGGCAACCTACACCAGTGCTCGGTCACCCTCACAGTAAAGAGTTTCCTGATGTTCAGAGGGAACCTCCTGTTTTTCAGTTTGTGCCCATTGCCTCTGGTCCTGTCACTGGGCACCACTGGAAAGAGCCTGACTCCATGTCTTTGCATTCTTCCTTCAGGTATTTATATACATTGATGAGATCCCCCCCTGAGCCTTCTCCAGGCTGAACAGTCCCAGATCTCAGCCTTTCCTCATAGGACAGACGTTCCAGTCCCTTCAGCATCTTTGTGGCCCTTTGCTAGACTCTCTACAGTACGTCCATGTCTCTTTCATATTGAGCAGCCCAAAACCAGACCCAGTACTCGTGTCCTCACCGATGCTGAGTAGAGGGAAGGATCACCTCTGTCAACCTGCTGGCAACTGGGGTACCATTAGCCTTCTTTCCAAAAAGGGCACATTACTGGCCCGTGTTCAATTTGCTATCCACCAGCATCCCCAGGTTCCTTCTCTGCCCAGCTGCTTTCCAGCTGGGTGGCCCCCAGCCTGTACTGGTGCCTGTGGTTGTTCCTCCCCAGGTGCAAGATACTGCAATTCACCTTGCTGAACTTCATAAGGTTCCTGTTAGCCCATTTCTCCAGCCTGTCAAGGTCCATCTGGGTGACAGCACGACCCTCTCTTGTATCAGCTACTCCCAGATCTGCGTCATCTGCAAACTTGCTGAGGGTATATGCTGTCACATCATCCAGATCATTACTGGAGATGTTAAACAGGACTGGAGGCAGTGCTGACCCCTGGGGTACGTTGCTAGCCACGAGCCTCCAACGAGACTTTGTTCCACTGATCACCACCCTCTGAGCCTGGCCATTCAGCCAGCTTTCAGTCTGCCTCACTGCTCATCCATCCCGTGTATCAACAGCTTCTCTATGAAGATCTTGTGGGAGACAATGTCAAAGGCCTTACTGAAGTCTAGGAAGACAAATCCACTGCTCTTCCCTCATCTACCAGGCCAGTTATTTCTTCATAAAAGTTTATCAGGTTGGTCAAGCATGACTGTTCCCAGTCACACTGACTACTACTGATGATTATCTTGTTGTTGATGTGCCTGGAAATGGTTTCCAGGATTAGCTGCGCCCTCACTTTCCCAGGAATTGAAACGAGGCTGATGGGTCTTTAGTTCCCTGGATCATCCTTCTAGTCCTTCTTGAAGATGGAAGTGACATTTTCTTTCCATCGGTCTTCGGGCACTTCCCCCAATCACCGTGATTGATCAAAGATTATTGAGAGTGGCCTCACAATGACATCTGCCAGCTCCCACAACACTCAGGTGCATCCCATCAGGGCCCATGGACTTACGTATGTCCAGTTTGCTTAAGTCTTCCCTGACCTGATCCTCTTCCACCAAGGGTACATCCTCCTTGCTCCAGACTTTCCCCTTGGTCTCTGGGACCTGGGATTCCGGAAGGCCAGTGTTGCTAGTAAGACCGAGGCAAAGGTGGCATTCAGTACCTCAGCCTTTTCCATGTATGACCAGGTGCTCCATCTCATTCGACAACAGGCCAATGTTTTCCCTAGACTTAGAGAAGCCCTTCTTGTCTGATATCCCTGACTAGATTCAACTGCAGTTGAGCTTTAGCTCAACTTCATCCCTGGATGCTTGGACAACATGTTCACATCCCTCCCAACTTTCCTGTCCTTGGTTATACTCTCTGCATGCTTCCTTTTTTTGTTTGAGTTTACCCCGGCGTTCCGTGTTTACCCATACAGACCTCCTGGCATTTTCACCTGATTTCCTATTCACTGGGGTGGACTGCTCTTGAGCCTGGAGGAGGTAAGCCTTGAATATTAACCAGCTTTTTTGGGCCACTCTTCCCTCCAGGGCCTTATCCCATTGAATGCTTCTGAGCAGACCTCTGAAGAGGCCAAAGTCTGCTCTCCTGAAGTCGAGGCTTTAGAGCTTGCTTTTTACTCTCCTCCTTCCTTCCAGGATCTTGAACTCTACCATCTCATGGTCACTGCAGCCAAAGCTGCTTTTGACCTTCACAGTCCAAACAAGCCCCCTATTGGTGAGTACACAGTCCAGCAGAGCACCTCTCCTCATTTGCTCCTCTGTCACTTGGGTCAGGAAGTTCTCATCGAAGCATTCCAGGAACCTCCTGGACTGATTATGTCCTGCTGTGTTGTCCTGCCAGCAGTTATCAGGGTGGTTAAGTCCCCCCATTCTCTGGGCACTATAATGGTGCTCTTCTTACCTTCTAAGAAAACATGGAACCTGGCATTTCTTTATTTGTGTTTTTGGAAAAGTATGGCTTAAATCAAAACTTGGTTCTCTCAGTGTGCCTTACTAATGCTTTAAGCACCAATCATAGACTCATGGAATCATAGAATCACAGAATGGTTTAAGTTGGAAGTTCCACCCCTCCTGCCATAGGCAGGGACACCTCCCACTAGCCCAGGTTGCTCCAAGTCCCATCCAGCCTGGCCTTGAACACCTCCAGGGATGGGGCATCCACAACTTCCCTGGGCAACCTGTTCCAGTGTCTCATCACCCTCAGAGTGAAAAATTTCTTCCTAATATCTAATCTAAATCTAACCTGTCCAGTTTGAAGCCATTCCCCCTCATCCTATCAATCATCCACAAATGGAAGCAGGAACATGTCTTCCCAGATTAAGTTGATAATGAAAAAGTCATAGGGCAAGTTGCTTGCTTGTGTGACCTTGTGCCACACTGCAAGGTCAAAGCAGATTTGGTATCGTTGAGTTAACTCCCCTGGGCTGAGCAAACTTCTTGCACTGCTGCTGGGTAGCCGGCAGACAACGCACAGGGAGGCGAGGATGGTTAGGGCCCTGAAGTCTTGCAGGCAGAAGCAAAAATGAGAGCTGGCTCTTAAATGAGTCCGCAGTGGGCGTTCTCACTTTCACAGCAAACCTGTGGAATAGTGGAGCTGCTAGCTTTCTGGGGAAAAAACAAGTCCTACATGCCTGGTGCACAGTGGGAAGAATCATTGTAATAGACTAGACTATAAGCTTGATGATATGAATTGGGTGTTGTTGAAACTGAAACACTGGCAGTAATTGCAAACATCAGCTCAGGTTATGATAGGTTGGATTACTTCTCGGTAGTTATGGAAGCAGCTACTTTGTGCTATTGTATCCTCAGTTCCTACAGCTGTCCATTTTCAGTTGTTCCCTGAAATGGGGAACTGTATCCCACACAGAGCAACAAGACATCAGAAAAAAATTGCCTTAATTTTTCAGTGGCAAAGAACATGTTTTGCTCCTTGCTGCAGCTGTGTGATACCCAGAATATTGCGGGAGAACTAAGAAACTTGGAAGAGGCCATACATTGTACTCAATATCCTGCCTGAAGATCCAAGGGCTGCGTTCTTCTTCTTGCTAGCTCTTCATTTGGTAGTGCTTTTTGCTGAAGCCTCACTCTACTGCTGCCAGTGTATTTCTTTGGGATGTAGCTTTTATGTCCGTCACTAGTTCGTTTCAAAGCAGAATGCTAAACTGCATCTTTCCCCGGGCTGCTCTGCCAAGGCTTCTCTCATCAGCCACCTTCCTGGAAGCTTAGACCTGGCCCATCTCTAGACAAGCTGTGGTGTTATCAAGCATCAAGCAGAATCAGCCACCATGGTCTTGGGAGTAAGTCAAGAATAGAAACATTACCTCAACTGTGTTGACACAGCTATGGGTGTGGTGAAAGGAAAACCAGTGTCCCTGGGAAAAAAAGGCTATGGAATGTTTGGGTTTTTTTTAAAATATAATACAGTCATCTGAAACAAAGTAATGTCCTATTGTCATCTTCAAGGCACTGCATCTGAGCTTGGTTTGCCCTAGCTTTTTTGACTCAGTGGTTAAAAAAAAGAAGAAACACCAGTGGAACAAATAGCGTACTTTAGTGCTGTTTAGTCTAAAAACAGTTGAGCCAGAGTCTCAACCCTAGCCAGAGGGAAGATTACTTTCTGTTCCTCCCCTTGACTGGGCCAAACTGTCCTACTGATAGAACAAAGGCTCCTGCTGGTCACATTTGTAGAGCTCACCAATGAGCTCATCCAAGGAGAATTTGGAAAGATGCTTTGCCTACAGAATTTTGTTCCTTCTCAGACAGAAAAAAAAATACGTAGATGAAACATGTACGGGACTGCTATTCTGTAGGTACCTGAAAGGGAAGTACATTTGAGGTACAAAACCCATGGTGCCAGCTGTCATTATAAAATGAAACACATAACCAAGAGCCAGAGATGTTTTCTAAGAGTAAGTTTCCAGATATTCAAGTTACAACACATGTACTGTCATGTAGCACCTATTTCCAGGAAGAAAAAACAAGTTTTCTTCATGACACTTCTGCTTCAAAGCAGTACGATAAGCGTAAGCTCTGTCCCAAGCCAGATGGTAACAAGACTACACTACCACACTAGAGGTTAAATCTGGACCTGTCTTCTCAGCATATTTTCTGAAAGAAGTTTTTTGCTATGATTTTTCTGTGAATAGCTGTCTAAAAAGAAGGGGGTGGTGTCTTTAAACCAACATCTGGTCTAAGAAAAGAGGCAATGAACAATTTCGTAATTATATTGGAAATGCTTCATCTACAATAATTAGAACATTCATACAGAATTTTCAAGAGTCAGCTTAAAATAATGCACACAATACATTAATTTCAGAACATCCTAGATGCATCAGTTGGTTGTATTCACTGACAGTAAGTTTCTCTCCCCTACAGGTTCACATATGCCCACCAGCAGGGCTGGTACTGCTTTCCATGACACACCACTGAAGGGTATCTGATTTCAGTAATCAAGGTGGAAGTCAAGCTTCACATGGCAGCAGGCTGACAGATTCCCAACTACATGTGTGCTGATAAAGCCTGGAGGTTTTTACTCATGCGTGATAGCAACGTAAGCTCCTGCAGCAGCCAAGCAACCACTGGCTCTATAAACAGTACGGCGCAGGACAGCAGGCAGACAGTAGGCAATGATGAACCACAGCAAGCTTCACATCTAACTCCAGGGTCAGGACCAAAGCTGGCAGTGGAAGGGACTATTTGACCTTAAGTGCAGTAGCTTCAGAGAGCTTGTGGATCGCATGACTTTAATGGGCCTGTGAAGATTGACCACATCCTTGTCAGCTTCACATATCATGTGGTTGCATTAGTGCCAGTCCGTATTTAATAAACATCAGTACAAGCCCAAAACATTAACATGTTATCCTAACTGGTACAAAACTTAACTATATCTTACCATGAATTATAAGTACTTGTGCATACTTTATTAAACAGAGTATAAGATCTAGAATTCCTAAAAAGACCACCACAGAATCTTAGTTTAAGCCTGGGCAATTGCACACATACAGGAATTACAAGGCTTGGAATAAAAGACAAGCAGGTAAGAGTTTTCTTGACCAAGAGGCAGGGGTGAAGTGCAATCAACTTCATTTGAGCTTGCATCCTGGAGCTGTATACAAATTGCAAAGTCAGTTTAATTACTTAGTTTATTTATGCTTTTAGAAACAACTATGGCTGGATAAAACAACAAATAGCGAGAAGTGAGGGCAAACTGCTTGTAGTCCTTCACTCATCCACTAATGCATACAAAACAAGCATCACAAGTTATTCACTGGCCCATTTACGATGTCTGACATTGAACACCACCTCTAGGGTGATGCTCATCATCTTCATAGACTTCTCCATTATAGTGGTGTTTTCTTTTTTGAGATGGATCAAAGTCCACTAAATCCACTTGCTCCATTTCCTCAGTTTCTTCTATTTCCTGCCTTGTAGGTAGCAGTTTTTCAAGTAATGACAGCTTATCTGAGGAGAGGAAGCCGTTCTCTGGGAAGTTCACCTGAAATCAAGAACAGGTGTTACTCCAGTCTGCCTGTGTTGGCCTTTTTCCATCCCACTACAGATCAAGTATCCGCCAAAGTCAGCTTTATCATCACAGAGCTTATAAAAGTCACTGCCTGTTTTTTAGTGCCTGTAAAAAGTTAGCTTCTAACTCTGGCAACTTAACCAAGCCTTATGCAAGATTTCTTCTGCCTTGGGCTACCCTCTGGAATCACCCTAGAAGCAAAGTACAGGATGTATCAACATTAGAGAGATGGCTTAATTTTCCCTAAAACTGTAGCAGACAGAGCTTGCTGCCACAGCTCCCAGCATCAGCTTCTGTCCCAAGAAGAAATCAGCATATTTGAGCCTATTCCTTTGCTCCAGTACAGGGAAGTTACTAATCCATCCTTCATATAGGATGACAGGAACAAAAGAATACGCCAAACAAATAGAAATTCATGAGTTAACCAAAGAAATTTTTCTGGTACTTAAGGTACTTTCAGCACAGTGTTTTACAAGTGTTCTCTTTGTTCTGAACTGTAATTCTGTTTGATGGATTGCATGTTCTCACCATTGTCAGAAACAAATACCAAACCAGGAACGACATCCAGCAATTGGTATCTCTTCTTGACTGACATAATGCTTAGAGGTTAAAATTTTGGACGGATATTCAACGCTGAACTGTGCCATGGAAGTAAGTTGATCCACTCACCCTGAACTCTATGATGAGACGTCCTTTTTCATACGGTCTGCGATAAATTGGCATACCTTCATTCAACACACACTTAATAGCCCCATGCTTGACAACCTGGCCTAAAAAAAAAAAAAATACAACAAACCAAAACCAAAAAAAGAAAGGGATCCCTGCAGGCAAGAGAGGTAGCTTTAGTTTTATCTCCCTTCAATATTTATGTAACCTTCTACATTGCGCTTAGACAGCTACACCAGTATGTAGTAGTCTAATAGGGACTTACTGCCTGGTAGCTTCTGAATAGGAAAGCAGGTTGACATCTACGTTACATTCTTGTAACCTTGTTATGCTTCCCAAAGGAAGCATACTTACAAATTTATTAAGTGCTCCATCAGTTCCAAGGCTGAAAAAGTGGTTTTCAGAGACCCACGGCCTTCAATTCTCATGAGGCATCCTCAGGATACAAGTATGTCCATGAGGTAAGGTCTGTTACTATATCACGCAAAGAGAAAGTTACTGCTGACTGCTATCCAAAAAATCCTTTTTTGTTTAAAGATTCGTACTGCAAAGACTAGGAAAAGAAGCTTGATACTAGCACACATCCCTTGTATATCAAGATGGGATGTTTCTGTTCCTTTAAACTTCCAGTTTAAATTCACTGTATGTTTGGACATTTAGCAGAAAGCAAACCAACACTTACCAGGATGGGAGGTAATAATAATAGTTCTATTATCCAGCGTTGTAATAGGCTTTTGAAAGCCACATAGTGCTTCAACCAGTTGAATATCCATAGACATTAGAAGGTCTTCATCTCGTCTAAGGTAGAACCAATCAAAAAGAGTCACAGAGAGGGAGAAGCAGTAAAAGGATCATACCCAACTTCAGTATTTAACTTGGCAAGCACAATAAAGCTGCAATTTTAATAGAAGCCTGGGCTATTAAATAAAGAATACTGAACATTGATGCGGCACCTCAAGCCAGCAATTACAGGAATGGTACCCATGCTGACAGCCATTATCAAGTCTAGCTATCCAAAGCGTAGAAGTGTTTATTGAAAAGAAATAAATACAGCAAGGCTCACTTGCATCCAGTTTCAGTTCACCGCTCCTTCCCACTTCTAGGAAAAAGTTCTTAAACATTGCAATCGGGACAATTAATCCCTTCCTTTGTGTAGATTAATGCTCTCAAGTGCATCAGCTAGCTCTAGACTAATCTGTTATACTCGCTTTCTGAAGATCTGGTACTAGCGAAGTTTGAACAGCTGATGGCCACTCTGGGATATAACGAAAGTAACTTCTAGAAAGCACCATGAAGTATCTGGAAGAGATAACGTAATTGTTTTAATTGCCTATTCTGACTTCAGTACAGCAGCACTAGTGATGTTTGCATGCACTGCATGTTCAACGACTACAAAATCCTCCTGCCTATTCGAAGAACTCAGTTATTTCACTCACCCTGTTTTAAAGGTCTCTGGAAGGAGCCTTGCCCAAAAAGTTAATTTTAGACTCTGATGGGAGAGGGGGAACATTCCACTTGTTCCAGAAGCAGCATGACCTCAGCATAACCCCACAAGACCAGTAATATCAAGGGTTATCTAAGGACGCTAGAACTGAATGCAGCAGGCAGAAACATGGACAAAAATAAGCCAGCAGAGTTGTGACTTCAAGTCCCAGGTAATCATGCAGTTTGGCCCAGACTGTCCCTTTGGCATAGCTGACTCGGTATCTGGTTTCACTGGAAGTTAAGAAAAAGCAGCTGGGTACGCTTATCCCAAGCAAACAGAACTGATTTTTAACCTGTGAACTCAGTGTTCTTTGGCATAGAGTTCTGGCACCAACATCCAGAGCCCAGCACCATACAGGACAGTCAGGCAGACTCACTGCAGGTTTCCCAAGAACCTTTGAGTCACCATTCCTATTTACAAGTACAGTGTCAGCAGTTGGTGTCTCTAAATCCATTGATTCCCTTGTTACTGCTCTGAACAGAAGCAGCAACACATTTCTGTGAGATGACAAGTGTTGCTTCTAACTGGACCAAAATGTACTAGACAGACTCATTCCACAAAAAGTAACTTGAAACAAGGAGGCTTGCAACACAATACTTGAGACATAGTCAATGCTGCTTGAGTCACTTTTGCTTTCGCAAGAAAGAAAAGACCAATTACCCTGTCCAGTGAACTCAGACAGGAAATGAAGTGTGGAAAACCACCTCTGGTCCAAAAAGTGCATGCTATATTTGGTTGTCACAAATAAGATCCCTCAGCAGAACTGAACACACTACAAGTTTTCCGTGCCTTGAAGCCAACTGGGCAATGAACAGCTGTCTATACTAAACGATAATTTTCTGAAGTAAATGATGGAATGCTATCCTAAGAAAAGCAAGGAATTAATCACAAATATTCACATCTATTAAACAAAATCTCAGTATTTTAAGAGTTCTTAAAATTCAAGATTTGTAAACTCTTAATAACTGTAACTGGTTTTGTTTGCCTTCTATCCCCTTCCACTGCCAAAGCTCACATAAGAATATCTCATGCTACTAAAACAGAAGTGGCTGTGACTAGTTGTACCAGGATTCCTGCACACCTCAGTGCTCCTTCGGCCACCCAAACTTACACAAGTTCTAGCCACGTGATCCTATCTACTGGTATTTCCAGTAAATACAAGGTGAGTGGTAACCAAGGAAGCATGTGGACAAGCATCTCGGCAGTTAACACAAAGGACTTCCAGAGTTTTACCTTGTAAATACAGAGTGGTCTTTTTGATCCAAGACAATAATAATATCCCCTGGCTCTAGTCCTGGCTCTTGGTCCCCTTCACCATGGAATGTTATTTTCTGACCATCCTTCATTCCTATTGCAGAAAACAAACAAGCAAACATTTTTCACCGTTTTAAGTGAAAAGCAGCAGTAAAATATTTTTGTAGGCATGAGCTGGTACCAGGAGATGTCTGGGTCTTTAAATTAGAACATCAGGACCTTCCCTGAAGCATTCATATTTTTTTTTTTTTCTCCCTTTAATTCACCCACATGTTCAACAGATTTTAGTGGTACCAACCTGAACTATGTCTCAATATCATTAAGCTTAATTGTAGTGCTAAACAGCCACCGGCCAAGATAAAGTTCTTAAGGGAAACATTATCAAAACAGCTTTAATTATATGCACAAGTACTAAAAAGAAAACAGAAATAGTGTACAAAATACATTTTGAGAGCAAGTGACCAAGAAGCTGATAGCTTCTTCAAGTTTTATAAAGGTATGTGGCAGAGCTACTTATGAAACCTGATCTCAGTGCCTGTCAAGTGCAAGCAGCACTCTTCCTAGGACTGTAACCATCACATAAGAAATCCATCTCAACCCCACAAAAGTCTCTCCACCATAAATTCTAGCTGCCTCATGCTAACTTAGTATGTTCTATAAGGAAGGGAAAAGCAGTTCTTCTCAGTGATTTCCCTGTTTAAAACATCAGTAGTATATCCTTACCAGCCCTCACATTTAAAGTTACTGCAGGATTTTCCCTGTTAAACCAAATCCAGACACTGCATAAGCTGTGTTTACACATACAACAGTGGCAGGTGATAATCAGGTCTGTAGAAGCCATGTGCTTGTCAGCTTGCTCTATCTTACAAGCTGCGCGACTCCAGAGCCTTCTACCACCAGCTTTTGAGCAGCCTCCCAACAGAGATGCATTTGTCACTCAACACTGTCATGTTCCCCCATCACTGTGACAATTTGTGTATCGAGCTGCATTTTACCAGGCAAAGAGTACCTGCACTGAGCAGCACTGTCAGGGTTGCATAGCAAACAGAGTTCTAAGCATGAGAGGCTTAGCACTGTCTCTGCACCCTATTACTATAGCAGACCTGGTTCCCCTTCACACCGAAATACAGTAGAAGTGATCGGAGTCTGCAGGGTTTCCCTACCAGCAAGGAAAACTCATTAGGCAAGCTGAGCCAATAAGCGATGAGTTTTATTTTAGTTGGTCCAGCTACCTGACCAAGACTCACACTTATGAGGTTGTTCTAAAAAAATTCACTGCTTACAACACCGCAGGTTTCAGAACTCATTCTTACTTATGTGCACAAGTATTAGATGTGAACATAGAAGTAATCAACCTTCCCTAAAAACAAGTTTCCTACTTTTTAAACGCAGTAACAGGCAATTTTGCAGTGTATGTATTCAGCAGTGTTACTCAGCAAAACCATGCTTTTGCTAAAGCTTCTGTTTTAATGATACAAATTTAGTCAATACATCCAAGTTCAATACTTCATCTTAGTAAGACACCTCACCTTTGTCAATGTGAACTTCTAGTATCTTCTTCTCTCTAACAATTTTTCTGCCAGTGCAGCTCTTACACCGGTCCTTGGGGCTGATACGCTCCCCATGCCCCTGACACTCCATACACACAGACTGGATTTGTTGCACCATTCCTGGCCCAATCTGGTGAATTCTGATCTGCATGCCTGTTCCTCTGCAATTAGGACAGCATTCTACTGCACCTTTCTTACCACCGCGACCTGAGGAGAAAGAAAATTGGGGACAGAAAGTTAAACGCTGCCAGAAAACACCACCAAAAGCTGTAGGAGCAACTTGTGTTTAGTTTCAGTTTCAGTTACCTTCACATTTGTCACAGATAACATTCTTCTGCAGTGCAAGTTTCCTTGTTGCACCATTGTACATATCTTCTAAACTTACTGACAACTGATGGACCACATTTTTGCCTGTAAAAGAAAATGGGTATTTACTCAAGTTTGAAAGCTTGGTCTCTAAGTAACAGTAAACTTCCCATGGTCAGCAAACTTCAGTGTGCTCAAGTCACAATAAACCAAGTCTATGAGCTTTAACATCCTGTTTTGATATAGCTTCATCTTGTTTTGCTAGTGTTAGTCAATAGCCCCTTCCTATCTGATGTCAAATTAGGTAACAATTCTAATGGCTTTGTCAGTAATGCTTCTCTGTTAGAAGAAGTCAGAGACTCTTCTGTGAAAGCACAACCAATAACACAAACAAAATACGTAAAACCTGAGACATTCAAGTTTTATAACGCAGGACTTCAGTTTTAACAAAGTGACTGAACGTGTCTCCTACACGGAAGTGGGAGACACTGCTTAGAGTGTACAGCAAAGTACTTTCTTCCTCTCATCAGGGGACTTTCTGGAAACTGAATTGAGTAATTAAATTTACACGCACAGGAATTAATTAAAACTTCAGCTACTGCAGGCTTAGGTTTGTGAAAGATACCAGGTGCTGGCTCACTAAGAATACTTTGATACAACACTGTAACACTTTGATACAAACCCTTTTTTCTTCCTTTTGTCACAGGTGTACACTAAGTGATGGGGTCAGTACTACCTTTATCTGTTTCAATCAACACTAGAGTTTTTCCCAGTGGAATTAAACGGGACTTCAACTTCTGAGCAGCATTCTACTGCCGCTTAAACTCAATTCTCCTGAACAGCACAGGAAAACAACGGACTGACTGTGATTTGCCTATCTTATTTAGATATAGCTTCTTGCAATTAAAAACCAAATACAGTTATGGTAGCTTAGTTAAAAAAAAAAAAAAAAACAAAACCAACATTTTAAGGTATGTTACCATTCCATTGCTTATTCAGCCTATTAGCTGACTTACGCTCAGCTAAAGGCTTTCCAAACAAGAAATCTGGTTAGTTATTAACATGAGACAATGCACAAGAGACCAAACTACCACCGTATGAACCAAATGCCCTCTCCTGCTCGCTTCCGGTGCTAAGGGCTAGGATAAGCGTTTCTCCGATTTTAAGATTAAGCCTGTAACTTAATTTTAACGCTATATGAAGTTTTACATCTACAGCATTCTCCTCAGAAACTCTGCTCCTGTCTACCTCAGCGACCACGCTGTAAAGTCTGAGAAAGCGTCGGATGATGGCACGTTACCTCGTCTCTCTCTCTGCATCCTCCCACCACCGCCAAAGAACATATCGAATATATCCATGGGTGACCCGAAGCCACCACCGGAGCCACCCTCTTTGATGGCCTGCTCGCCTCCTTTGTCATACAGGTCCCTCTTCTTTGGGTCCGACAGTACTTCATAAGCTTGGGAAATCTGCTTAAACTGCGAGAGACATACATCGTGCCTCAGACTCCCGGGACTTGAAACCTCAAACAGCACCCCAGCGACACCCCCATC